CACACACACACACACACACACACACACACACTTGGCTTCTTACGGTTACGATTCTGACGATCCACGGTTTTTCTACCGATCGCCGAGACGTAATTTTTTGCTACGCGAAGCAAATCACAGACTCTGCCTTTCAAACGTTGAACCGTCTCGTATCGTATAAGATGAAATTCACGGAAATATAAGATCTCTGTACCGCGATCACGACGCACGCGGTTTACGAATTGTTACTTTCACTAGCGGCCACCAGCGAGCGTCCATGTTGCGAAAATTCGTTCCAGCCAATCAGACAGATTACATCATAGCGTGACGTTTATCCAGGATAGATCAACCAATTAACGTGCTTCTTTGTCTAACTTTGTGAAAAGTTTCGTTAGCATCGTTCTCATCTTTACCGACGGAACGTGACATGGCGAGTACAGTGTCGAGTACTACGTTACAACGTCGTGCACGGTTACGGTCAAAATTTGAATTTGAATTTAGAATTTCGCCAACTTCGCCTACAATCTTTCTGTCAGTGTTGAAACATTCACCTGAGTGCCGAAGACGCCAAAAGTGCCAATCGTGAAACTATGGGCGATCGTGGAGAAAAAGGTGCAAACGAGTGAGTGAATATAACCTTTTGCTAATTAAATAAAAAGATAATCATCTCTAATGTAAAGAGCAGAGGATAGAATCTCTCTGGCGAAATAAAACTAGGCTCCCTGCTGTTCTATTAAAATTTCACGCAAACAAAGCACTCTCCTCCGTCCCAAAAAGCTTCCCATTCTTCGAAAAATATCAACATCCGGTTGTTTCCGGTAGCTCGCAAATGGCGGACTCGCGTACCCTCCGCCACTCTGAATACTGCGTTTATTTATTTTTCTTAGCTTTTGAAGCTCGCTCGGGTAGCCTTCATTCCACAGTCTTTCTCGGCATTTCACGATATAATCAGCAACATAAATGTTTCCCTTGATACGATCGCTGCTCCAAGGGTAGAAAATGTTTCGGAGTGTTGCGCTGTCACATAACCTTGAACTCCGTGTTACCGGAAACATCGCATTAATCATGAGTACCGTTCCGTTCGTGCGAGCGGTCGTAATGATCGACCTGTTCAAGAAATCACTTGGCGCGAAACTCAATGTTGATCGTACATACATACGTACAAGTTGGTTAAGATTTTCCAGAGCAACGGGGGAAAATCTTTTCGCACGGCGTGTAAGCAAAAGTTATAACGAGAATGTAATCCCCTTTTCCCTCTCTCGAGTCAACTGGACGCATTTAACGCATTGTTGACCGGCAATTTTACGCAAAAGATATTTCACGTCACCGGCTATTATTTCTAGGTATATAATTGAATAGGTATATAATTGAAAGTGAAACAATCTAAATAAAC